CGATGTTCTCAATCTATCTGAATCCAATGTAGACACCGAAAACCCAGATACGTCTGTAACAACTGGATGACAGCCTGATGGCCCTCAAGCATCTGAATATTCTTCAGTACCGTTCTCCGGATACCGACGGAGTTGTCCTGAAATTCTAGAACTAAATTGACCCATTAATCCTTAAAGTTTGAGGAACAGAGAAGCCAGACGCAGTACATGTAGCAACGGTATTTTCCTCAACTTAGTTCTCGGTCTGAGCTCTCAAAGCTAGCGTTCACGCCAAAACAACCACCAAGGGTGCACGAGGTATATTAACGCCCAAAACGGAGTAATGAACAGACTACAGTGCTTCATATATATAGCATAGGTGGCAATAGCTTTTTGGAAATTCTGACGCGTTCTGGATGCGCCATTGGCAAGCGGCGTTCGGCCAATAATGGGTACTGGATGGTTGTTGGTTCCTGAATTTCGGCCAATCAGATCTCGGCTTGATGCCGGACCGGCAAGCGTCCCGAATTCTTTGCCAATATTGTGTGGGATGGACTCCTCGGCCGCAACTGACTGGCAAGCGTCCCGAATTCTTTGCCAATCTTGTATGGGATGACCCCTAGGCCGTAGCAACATCTGAGTGCGAGCGGTAAAGCGAGAACCGTGTGGAATTCCGTCCAAAAATACATCATTTCCCGTCTACGTCAGCTCATATGTGGCCATTCAAACAATGTCGGGGTGAATATCATGCTTTTTGTGTGCTTTTTGTTATGCTTACCATATTCATTTGTACTGAGCCTTTGTATTTACATTTCACCTCATCCACGTTTGCTTCTAGACAAGTAAAACGTCGCTTTTCCTCGAAAACCCAGACTCTGTTGTAACTCGTTCTCGGACACATACTAAACGTCTCATCATCACGCCGTGGTGCGACCACGCCTGACAGTTCGTTCCACTTCAGACCCTGGCATGTCAGCAAGTGGCAACGAGCATGTGGATGAAGCGTGGCAAAATGTGAGAATAGTTATGCTCGCAGACTTCAGTGCTCTGTCCGACTGTTCCGATACAATCAAGTAACCACTGGGTATCGTCGAGTTCTCTAACCTTGATTGATGGCAGGAGGCAACAAGTACAACGGCCTACGCAGATTTCTCAAACGCAAAATTGTGGAAAGTCTTAAAAGGGACCGAGAGCTTTGATGGATATCGACCGTTTGGGAGATGAGGTATACATTTTATCGGAAACAACCGTTCCCTATATCAACCGGTACGACCGACTGACTCGAAACAGGAATGGCCAGTGAAATGATAAGTGAAAATGGTGGCTCATTAATTAACTGACGAAGACGTTGAGTGGGAAGGTGAACAAAACACTTCGAAGAACATTCCAGCTGGAATCCTGCAACACAGTTTCTGGAAATGGAGCATACGGCCAAATGGAATTTAAACCCAAATCGCCAGTCAGAAAAGGAAATAAACTAGGTTGTATCTATAATGAAACATGAGTAGGCATCATGATTTGACTGGCTGTATTTGGCCTTCTTCAAAGAAGCTGGAGAATCCCAGGTGATCTATCTAGTAAGGCTCATCGGTGTGATATAGGGTGGAAAATTCTTGCATGATTGGACGTGTCAACAGATATTGCTGTTTTCCAAAAGGGTACACGGACACTATCAGGCATCAGCCTGGTAGCCGTGGCATCGGAGGTCCTCTTTGGTCTTA